GTTGTGCAGACTGGAGTGCTGGGGCGTGATCATGGCTCATGTCAGCCTTGACCTTCCTGGCTCAGGGATCCTCCTGCCTCAGCCTTCTGAGTTGCTGGGGATTATAGTTGCGCATCACCACACCCAGCTAATTGTTTGACTTTTTGTAGAGACAAGATCTCACAATGTTGCTCAGGCTCTTCTCTAATCCTTGGCCTCAAGCAGTCCTCCAGCCTAAGCCTCTCAAACTTCTGGGATTGCAGGCATGGGTCACTGTGCCTGGCTGACTAGCTAATTAGTGTGTGTGTGTGTGTGTGTGTGTGTGTGTGTGTGTGTGTGTGTGTGTGTGTGTGTGTAGAGGAAGTCTTGCTATGTTGTCCAGGCTGGAGCTAATTAGTGTGTGTGTGTGTGTGTGTGTGTGATGTGTGTGTGTGTGTGGAGAGGAAGTCTTGCTATGTTGTCCAGGCTGGAAACTGCAAAAATACATGTATACATCTGACTGTTGGATTTATGACATTGTTTCAGGAGCACAGATTGCTTGGAGAACAAGTATATATTGCAATAATTTCTTTTCTGATTAACTATAGGTGTTTAATTTTGGGGAGTCAGAATTTATAAGAATTCTTCTTATAGTCAAAGTTAATGTGAGACTCTTGCACTATATTATTTCTCCTTTGAGGATGGATTTTACCAACTCCATATATCTTCCAAACTAGATGGGTTGTGGTTTAAGGTGGGAAAATGCAAGCAGTGCAGGCAGTTCCTGATCTGAGTTTCTTACCCTTTGGGACTTCATGGTCCTGGTACATGCTGTGTTCCCCTCTCTCGTCTTCAGTTTTGACTACTGACTGAAAATGGGCTAAATTTAGTGAGTCTGTGCTGGCCTTTTATACCTCAAAACTAGTAATCTACCGAGCTAGATAACATATCCTCTCAGTGAGAAGGAGACAACAGACCTGGCAAATAAAATGTGCTTTGAAAATTTTATTTATAACCATGATTAATACAAAATAGAAAACTCTACCTAAAGTGTTTGTTAGAAACATTTGTGCTCAGAAATTAGTTATTGTATAAATTGAAATTATTATTTTGAGGGCCCAGAAAGTCTTCATTTCTCATGTTGAGCACCTTCTTTAATCATTAGGAGTTGTGTTTGCTCTACTTTGACTTTTGCCGTACAAGAGTTTGTCATTTTCTCTTGGACATTGCTGTCTTGTATGGTTGTACAGTCCATATCTGAGTGAACTGGAAATCTATCAAACCTGTTCTTAAAAAGAGAAATAGAAATATTTTATATACTAAATAATTCTACCTTATACCTTCATGTTTGGGTAAACACCATGATGATGATTTTAAGTGACGATTTTGGATAGTTGGATTGAACTCTGAGTAAACTGGGTAGCAGGGAGGCTATACAGGCTTACGTGTACATGTAGCTGTTCAAGAGGAAAGGCCGTGTGCATCTGTGGACATGGGTGGACATGGGTAAGGTTCTTCATAAGCACACAAACATAAACTTCACACAAACAAGAATGCCGTTCTGCTTTAGACTAACGGTTGTACTTATTGATTTCCCCCCCCCCCATACTAAATAAGAGATTGTCTTGGCTTAGATTCTCTTTTGATGTGAGTTATGCTACACAAATTCATTATGTCAACATATTTTCCCCCCTTCTTCTTATAGTAACTTTTTTTTTTTTTGAGTCAGAGTCGCCCTCTTTTGCCCAGGCTGGAGTGTGGTGCCACAATCATGGCTTACTGCAGCCTCAACCTGCTGGGCTCAGGTAACGTTCTCACTGCTGCTTGCCAAGTACCATGCCCAGCTAATTTTTTTTTTTTTTTTTGAGTTGGAGTCTCACTGTCGCCCAGACTGGAGTGCAGTGGCCTCTCCCGGCCACCACAGCCTCGACCTGCGGGGCTCCAGCGATCCTTCCACCTCAGCCTTCCAAGTAGCTGGAACTACAGGCACACGCTACCATGCCCAGCTAATTTTTTGATTTATTGTAGAGATGAGGTCTCGCCTGCCCAGGCGGGTCTTGAACCCGCGGGCTCAGGCAATCCACTTACCTCAGCCTCCCAAAGGCGTGGGATTACAGGCTGAGCCACTGAGGCCAGCTAATTTTTTATTTATTATAGATCCAGGGTCTCGCCATGCTGCCCAGGCTGGTCTTGAACTCCTGGGCTCAGGCAGTCCTCTCGCCCTGTCCTCCCACAGTGCTGGAATTACAGGTGAGAGCCTCCGTGCCCAGCCATAGTGACATTCTTTATCAACCATGGAAATAAAAATGTAAAAAAATTAAAAGTAATAGGATTGTATTGAATGATTATATAGATCAGAAGGAAGGAAATTCTAAAATATGATTTAGTAGGTTGACTGTTTCTTTTATTCAGTATGTATTCAAGACATGAGTTGACCACCTATTATATGCAGGCACCTTACACTGTACCGAACATACAGCTCATGTTTAACAGCAAAGTAAGGAAATAATATTGAAAATATAGACTAAATCATATCTTTCACATTAAAGAAATGCTGTTATCCATGGAATAGTTTTTCCACTGAGTTTCAGGGATTCAGTTTATAAACAAAAGTTCAAGTAAGGAAATAATATCTAGAATTTGGAAGCAATGATACCTTTAAAGTAATTGTGACTACTCTGGCTAGTTTGCTACTCAATTTAAAAATAACCTTTGAGTGAAACAAATATAAAACCCAGTTATGGAGACATAGCTAGATCTACCCAATCTTTGTACTTAAGGAATCACTGTTCTTTAAAAAAAAAATTATTGGAAAAATCAAAATTGAACATACTTTTCAAACTTTTTTTTATTTGGAAATAATAAAGCAGAGTTGCAAGAACATAGTACAAGGAATTTGACATTGATAACATTTTTATTGTACGTATTACAGTTTTGTCAATCGATCCAGTAATATCCTTTATAGCTCTTCCATTCCTCCAGTACAGAATTCAGTCTAGGATCAAATATTACATTTACTTGACATTTTTCTGTAGGTCTGTTTAAAATCTGGACTACTTACACAGATTTTGTTTTTTGTTATATGGACATTTTTGAAAATTCAATACTCCTGAGATTGTGTGTTCTGAGTGTGCCTTAAAATCATAACATTGAACCACTAGTAGTCAGGGTTATTTTAAGTTCTCTCGTTCATATAAATTTATGTCACTAGCAAAACAAAAAAAATCTGTAAATCATCTCTTTATTAAATATGAAGAAGATGCCTTATTCTTCAAGATACTCAATACACATTTTATATTTTGCAGTCCAAATTATAAAATGAAATTTGCTGGTATTTATTTAATACCTGGTACATGTATAAAGATGAGTGTTATCTAGAATTTCTGATTTGGGATCATGTGATTTTGATTTTTTTAAAAAAGCGATTTTAAGTCTGATCAGCATCCTGAGTGATTTTTTGCATTTTTATTCATTTGTCTTCTGGTCCTATTTTGCCACCTAGTGGACATTTGTGTCCTTCAGCATATGCCTCAGAGTCTAGCTGGAGTGCAGAATGCATCTTAATATACAAAACAGTAGTTTAGATTGTTCTCTCCTCATTAGTTAACATGGAATTCTCTAGAAACAATGACTGTCTTATCCTAGACAAAAGTTTTTTTTTTTCCTCCTGAATCAGAATCTCACTCTGTCACCCAGGCTGGAGTATAGTGGCATGCTGCTCATGGCCATGGCAGCCTCTACCTGCTGGACTCAGGCGATCCCTCTGCCTCAGCCTTCCAAGTAGCTGGAACTGTTGGCATGTGCCACCCTGTCCAGCTAATTTTTTAATTTATTGTAGAGATGAAGTCTCACCATGTTGCCCAGGCTGGTCTCAAACCCACGGACTCAGGCAGTCCTCTCATCTCAGCCTCCCAAAATGTTGGGATTATAGGCGTGAGCCACCGCACCTGGCTAAACAAAAGTTTAGTACAGATAGAGTTTTCAGTGAGCAGAGTCTTAGTAGATATCTCAAGTTATGAGTTTCTGGGTATCACAGTCTACTCTTCTTTCTCAAAAGGAAATATTCCATCATGTCTTCTTCATCAGTTAAACTTTTAATTAAGGCACACGTTTTGGGTCAGTCAGTATTAAATAATTGTTGTTGTGTAGATTGGTGATGCCCCTCCCTACCACCCCAGGAGTTCTCTTCATTAACATCTGCTTTCTAAGTAGAACGTAGTAGAGTCGTACAGTGTGACACAGATGACAGGAGAAAGCCACAATGGATGATAAATATTAATAAAGTTGCCCAAAGGAAAAATATATTACCTTGAAAATAAGCTAAATAAATTAGACTTTTTGTTTTTGAGTCTTGGAGTATTATTCTATGGCTCAGGTAGGAGTGCACAGTATGTTCACAGCTCACCCTAACCTCAACTGTCTAGGCTCAAGTGGTCTTCCCACCTCAGCCTCCTGAGCAGATGGGACTACTGGCTTGTGCCACTATGCCCGGCTAACTGTTTTGATTTTTCTTGTAGAGATGTCATTTTGCTGTGCTTCCCGGGAGGGTCTTGAACTCTTGGGCTCAAGCGAACCTCTTGCCACAGCCTCCCAAAGTGCTGGGGTTATAGACCTAAGCTACCCAGCTTGGCCTAATCTTATCATATTATGGGATAAGCTTTATTTGTGCTTTACTTGGGTATAAGTAAAATTTAGGGATTTATCACTTTTGGAGACTCAGTAGTCTCTCTCTTTCTTTATTAAATATGAAGAAATGCCTTATTCTTCGAGACACTCAATACACACATTTTTAGTAGAATCTGAGAAACATTTCTGTCTTGGGGTTGGACATTGTGCATAGTTAAATTGGAATACGAAGTCTGAGGTCATTTTCAAAATACATTTTCAATATACTTATTTATGATAAAAAATACTGAGAATAATATAACCATTTAGAGAAAATAGTTCTGAATTACTGGGTGCAGTTGTTCAATCATACAGCACCTTCATAGAGTCACGGATATTTAAAACTGTGTATCTTATTTCTTTTTACTCATTCCTAGTTGCTGATGTATATTCAAGATGAGTGGATTAGGAGAAAACTCCTTGGATCCACTGGCCACTGATTCACGAAAACGCAAGTTGCCATGTGATACTCCAGGACCAGGGTAGGTGACTTCTTTCCAGGTACTTTGCCACAGTAGTGCCTCCAAGGTCCCTGGTTTGTTTTGTTTGGGGATAACATTTCAACTTCCTGCTAATTACATTCTCTCGTTAGTGTTTTTTTTGGGGAGTGGGGTGTTACTTCATGGTAAGTAGAGTATTACTGATGAGATGGACATCCCTATAATTGTAATAGAAGCTTTTTGAATAGATGATTCCCATAAAAGGTAGAATATTAACAGTTTGTGGTACTGTAAAAAGAATTTCTGAACAGAAAGGGCAGGAATTAGGAATAGAGGACCAATTATTACAAGTAAGAATCTTTGCTATCTTTTAAGAATATGTTTTAAGTGGATATTTTGACATTCATGAAATTTTATTATTCTTTTCCAGAATGAATCAGAGGTTTAAGTCAGAAATAAATACTATAATCTGTACAATAGTACTCTGTAGCTTTTAAGCATTTGTCAAAGTCAGTGTCATTTGAGGTTTACTATGATACAATTAATAAAACATTTTCATTAATAATAAGTAGCTACCATTAATTTGTTATTATTTGTTGCTGGTTTTATTTTATCTATGAGGTAAAAATTATTCCTTTTTTTAAGGTGAAGAGACTGAGACTAACTCTTCCCAAGGCCATCAGGCTGACAAAATGGTGAAATTGGATTTAGGTTTACATGAATTTTTGCTATGTTGTAGAAGTTCTCCAAGACAATGTTTTGGTAGTTTCTATTGGCTGAGTTTAGTTTGTTTACATGTGAAAGTAATGGTGTTGTGTAGGTGTTGTGTAGGGTCTGACTTTGCTAACATGACTTTTGTGATAGGTATATCATGACTTTTCTCCCCTTCTTAGTCTTACCTGTAGTGGTGAAAAGTGGAGACGGGAACAGGAGAGTAAATATATTGAAGAATTGGCTGAACTGATATCTGCTAATCTTAGTGATATTGACAACTTCAATGTCAAACCAGATAAGTGCGCAATTTTAAAGGAAACAGTAAGACAGATACGTCAAATAAAAGAGCAAGGTAATACGAAGAAAAACACTCAAGTCTTTTAGAAGGACCTTGTCACTGTGTGTTCATTCCCCTTTTGCTGCTTTGTTTGGGTAGGGATTACAACTGATTGAGACTGTGTGAGAATAGGCCAATGAGTAGACCAACTTTGCTCTTCAGGATAAGCAGTTGACAGAGAAATTGAAGAAGGCCAGTGTTGCTCACCCTCTCACGTGTTAGCTCCCTTTCAGGAGGCCATGGGGTAGTATATTTAGAAGTGGAAGAGAATCTGGGGTGTCTTCTGTCCTCCTAGGTAACATGAAGTTTAATTTTTAATGTTTTAAAATATTAGCATTGGTCTCTTATGTCAGGAAACGTTTTGTACACATGTGTAGGTGCGTGCATGTCTTTATGTCTGTTCTGGGGACTGTTTGAAGGTAGATGCGATCTCTAACTGATGTATATGCTGTTTGTTGCATTGCCTTCCATCTTTTCAGGAAAAGCTATTTCCAGTGATGATGATGTTCAGAAAGCTGATGTGTCTTCTACAGGGCAGGGGGTTATTGATAAAGATTCCCTAGGACCACTTTTACTTCAGGCAAGTAAAAAGGTTTTAGCAGTCCAATAAGTTGCGCTTTGGTTTATTATAAGTTGATTAAAAACAGTGAAATTTTGGTTAGGAAATGAGAACAAATAGAAAATATTTCTTTCTTTGAAATCAGAATTCTGACTGTGATGGTAAAGTGTTCTTCTCCTTAACAATACACATAATTCAGGAGGCTTTGGTCCCCCCCCATAAAAATACAGTTGAAAACTGAGAAAGCACAAACACACAAATATAAAAAAGAAATAGGGTAGAAATATTTGGGGGATGGTCGGGTGGGGTGGTTCTTTGGGAGGCCGAGGTGGGGGATTGCCTGAGCCCACGGGTTCGAGAACAACCTGGGCAACTTAGTGAAACCTCATCTCTACAATAAATAAAAAAATTAGCCGGGCCTCGTGGCATATGCCTGTAGTTCCAGATATTTGGAAGGCTGAGGCAGAAGGATCGCCTGAGCCCAGCAGATCGAGACTGCGGTGGCCATGAGCATGCCACTGCACTCCAGCCTGGCTGACAGAGTAAGACTCCGACTTAAAAAAAAAAAAAAATAGGGGGGGGGGGTACGGCCTGTGAGCTGGGCACAGTGGCTTACACATATAATCCCAGCATTTTGGGAGGCAGAGGCAAGAGGATTGCCTGAGCCCAGGGGTTCAAGACCACCTCAGCAACTTGGTGAGACCTCGTCTCTATAATAAATAAAAAAATGAGCTGGGCATGATGGTGTACACCTGTAGTTCCAAGCTATTTGGAAGACTGAGGCGGAAGGATCACCTGAGCCCAGTAGGTCAAGGCTGTGGTAACCGTGAGTGTGCCACTGCACACTCACTTATTTTATTGTAGAAACGAAGTCTCACCAAGTTGCCCAGGCTGGTCTTGAATCTATGGACTCAGGCAGGTTTCTTGCTTCTGCCTCCTAAAATGCTGATGATTACAAGTGTGAACCACCTGCGCCTGGCAAGGTGTCTTAGATAGATCTGATTAGACTCTTCAAGGCAGGGGCTGAAGCCCTTCATAAAGTTCACTTGTCATCTTGTTTCTGTTTCAGCTACTTAGTTAATCCATTTTTAAATTCCTCTTTGCAAATTCTTATTAAGGAAGAGTATGGTAGTTTCTGTAGCCTGACTTGGCATCAGATGGACAAATGAGAAGAGCTAAGGACGATTTTCTTATTTTTAAAAGCTCCTGTAAGATATAATCCTTAAATTAGGTTAGACATTAATTCAAATTTCACATTGACCATATTTGTCTTTCCCCTCCAGATTGTCCTTTTTATTTTTTAATAGCCCTATAGTAATGGAGCTAATGTTAATAGAAATGGTGGCTTATAGCAGTTTGTAGTATTTGTTAAATCAACAGGTGTTTTCTCACATTCTACTTACTACTTAGACTGCTGCCTGGTAAGGCTACCATAACAAAAACCACAGAGTGAGTAGCTTAAACCAATAGACATTTATTTATTTTAGTACTGGAGGCTGGAGGTCCAGGATCAAGGTGTTGGCAAGACTTGTTCTCCTGAGTCCATCCACCCTCCTTGACTTGTCACTGTGTCCTCACATGGCCTTTTCTCTGCATGCACATCCCTGGCTTCTCTTTCTGTCACTTTATGGAACACCATTTATATTGGATTAGGGCCTGCCCATATGACCTCATTTCTCCTGAATTACCTTCTTAAATGTCCTGCCTCCAAATATAGTCACATGAGGGTTAGAGCTTCAGCACAAGAGTTGGAGGACCAGGAGGATACAGTTTAGTCCACAGCAGCCTGTATTAACATATCTCCTTTTAGGCATTGGATGGTTTCCTGTTTGTGGTGAATCGAGATGGAAACATTGTATTTGTGTCAGAAAATGTCACACAATACTTGCAATATAAGCAGGAGGACCTGGTTAACACCAGTGTTTACAATATCTTGCATGACGAAGACAGAAAGGATTTTCTTAAAAACTTACCAAAATCTACAGGTAGGCTCTTAATGTGTATTTTCTAAGTATGTTAAAAATTTTTTCCTTGAACATTTCTTATAAAATTGAATGTACTTTTTAGGAAGCCAAGTGATCTTACTTATATAGAGAGGCATGTGGTTAATAGCAAAATTTTCAAATATGGCCTCAGTGAATTCACAATTTTTATATATTTTATGGGGCCAAAGTACAGAGTGAGTTACAAAATACGGTGAGATTTCTGTTGAAGTTAAAATTATTCAAAGGTTTTGTATATTGCCACTCTGAAATGTTAGTATTCTATGGAAAACACATATCATGGGAAAATACAGCTTGGATTCTCGATGGTGGCAATAGACTGAGTTACCAGCTTTTAAATATATCATTTCAATTTGTTTTCCAAAGTTAATGGAGTTTCCTGGACAAACGAAAACCAGAAACAAAAAAGCCATACATTTAATTGCCGTATGTTGATGAAAACATCACACGATATTCTGGAAGACATAAACACCAGTCCTGAGATACGCCAGAGATATGAAACAATGCAGTGTTTTGCCCTGTCTCAGCCACGAGCTATAATGGAGGAAGGGGAAGGTAGTAAGAGCAATCATATGTTTGTGATGTTTATTAAACATGTAGTGGCCACACGTGTAATTTTGTGACTTCAATTGTTTTAGCTCTTGTTATTATATTCCATGTCCTTGCTTTCCTGTTGATTACACATATCCAAAAGTTAGGTATAATCCTTATCTAATTAAATTTTTTATTGTAGATTTGCAATCCTGTATGATCTGTGTGGCACGCCGCATTACTACAGGAGAAAGAGCTTTTCCATCCAACCCTGAGAGCTTTATTACTAGGCATGATCTTTCAGGTAAAAACTCTCTCTGTGTGTATACATTTTAATTTTGGGAAATTTTTATTTAAATTTGGTTTTCAAAATCGGGTTTCTACAGCAGTCATGTAATATATACCTACTGAGTTGAGTGTTTTACATGTATTAATTCTTATGCTTCTTATACAACCTTAAGAGAATTTCACTAAAACCTATGGCATTTGGTTGGATATGTTTGGTGCTTAACATCCCTCACATAAATAAAAAACAAATGTAGAGACGCTTGGCTTGTTCTCCAAGTAGTATTTTGTGTCAGAATTTAATGTTTCTGTTTTCTAACTTCAAACCTATTTGTCATAAAGAAACACAGATTAAAAAATACAGATAATTTAATGAGGATTATTGGGAATAATTATTGACATCACTGTGAACCATTTTTGACCATGGGAATAAAGACCAAAAGATATGGCAGCTGATAAGGCTGAAACACTGTGGCTATATTATTTCTATTGACTTTCAGAGTCACTCTTGTGATCATCTAACCCTAACTGTTGATGTCAAGGATTTGTCATATGTCTTCATCTAGAGATGAAGAAATAGATGTGTGACAGAGAGGCTGGGTTATGTCCAAGGTCATGGCTAATAAGAGAATTTGCAGCTGGGTCTATCTGACTTAAAAAGCCTGGACTAGCTGGGCTCGGTGGCTCAGCCTGTAATCTCCCACCTTTGGGAGGCTGAGGTGAGTGGATTGCTTGAGCCCGTGGGTTCCGAGACCCGCCTGGGCAGCGAGACCTCATCTCTACAATAAATAAAAAAATCAGCTGGGCGTGGTAGCGCATGCCTGTAATTCCGGCTACTCGGAAGGCTGAGGTGGAAGGATCGCCGGAGCCCAGCAGGCGAGGCTGCGGTGGCCGGGAGCGACCACTGCACTCCAGTCTGGGAGACTGAATGAGACTCCGACTCAAAAAAAAAAAAAGCCTGGACTATTTGTGTTGTCTAATGCTAATTTAACATGCCCTGTGGACTCTCAGTAAGTGATTTGATACAGTGGAGTAGGCTTAAATAAACATAAAACATAGCTGTAGCTCTTATATGTGTGTGTATATGTGATATGTTTATATAGTAGACACATACATAATACTTAGAAAAAGTAGCTATTTTCAGTCATTCAGCCATTTTATGTCAGGCTTAGTTACCTGTCTTGAGGCTTTTTGCGATTAATTTTCCAGATGAAAAAAAGGTAGCAAAGATTATTTGGCAATTCATAATATATCTATTCACATTGATGGATGTTATTTTACATTGGAGAATTTTTACTCACTTTCAGGTAGACATGTTGACAGCAATTTTTATGTGTTACTTTATCCTTTTTTTTTAAAACAAGTTGGAGTCTCACTCTGTCGCCCAGGCTGGAGTGCAGTGGCCGCTCCCGGCCACCGCAGCCTACCTTTTATAGTTGGTTTTCCTGGATAGCGGAATTTCACAGCTAAAGCATGCTGGACCCTCAGAGTGGATTTTTCTTGTGATTTGGCAGTCTTAATTTTCTCCTACTGAATAACAGTGCTTTAAATTTATTAATTGAAAATACTAGATGAAACATCTTTATCTAAAGATGTGAATAGCATCTTTAAAGATTATCAGTATTTTTCCCTGTTATAAGAGCAATACACATTTTTTGTGTGTGTGTGAGTTGGAGTCTCACTTGCTCGCCCAGACTGGAGTGCAGTGGCCTCTCCCGGCCACCGCAGCCTTGCCTGCTGGACTCTGGCGATCCTTCTGCCTCAGCCTTCCAAGTAGCCGGAATTACAGGCATGTGCTACTACACCCGGCTGATTTTTTGATTTATTGTAGAGATGAGGTCTCGCTGCCCAGGCGGGTCTCGAACCCGCGGGCTCAGGCAATCCACTCACCTCAGCCTCCCAAAGGCGTGGGATTACAGGCTGAGCCACCGAGCCCGGCTAATACACATTTTTTATAAAAGAAATGATGGATGGATTCGGTGGCTCAACCTGTAATCTCAGCAATTTGGTAGGCCAAGGCGAGTGGTTGCCTGAGCCTGCAGGTTCTAGACCAGCTCAGGAAACTTGGTGAGACTTCGTCTTTACAGTAAATTAAAAAAAAATTAGCTGGGCATGGTAGCGTGCGCCTGTAGTTCAGGCTACTTGGAAGGCTGAGACGGAAGGATTGCCAGTGCCCAGCAGGTTGATGCTGGGGTGGCCGTGAGTGTGCCACTGCACTCCAGCCTGGGTGATAGAGTGAGAGTCCAGCTCAAAAAAAGAAAAAGAAAAGAAGGAAAAAAAAAAAAAAAGAAGTGACCAGGGATGCTTCTGTCTTGGTGACATTACTCAATACTGAGGTCTGGCTTATCACAGTTATAGTTGGTGCCTTTTAGTTGCTGCTCTTTGTTTTATAGGAGGTTTGTTGCTCTCAACACAACATTTTTTTGACTTCTGGAGAGACTTTACCAGGTCTTTGATGTGTTTCATATAAGACACTTTTTCTGGTTGCTTGTAGTGGCTCACACCTATAATCCCGCTTTGTAATGTCAAGGTGGGAGGATTGCTTTGAGTCCAGGAGCTCGAGACCAGCCTGGGCAACATAGTGAGACCCTGTCAGTATTTAAAAAAAAGAATTTTTTTCTGAACATTTATTTTGTATTTGTAATACAGCTGAGGGCTAAGCTTGGGGGAGGCAGTTGAGGACAGATTTTCCCTATTTTTGGCATCAGGGCACAGGTATTTCACTAAAAAATTTTTTTTTGCCATTGCAAGTCTAAATTTTAAATAGATTCTGGAACAGGTGGCTTATCACCATTAGCTTATTCAACATTAGTGCCTTTTTCATCCTCAGTAGTTTTTCCAGAACTGCCTTTCACTATGAAGCTCCATGAGTTTTCCCCAGTCATACTATGATTTTCTTAAGTATTTTTGATTTTCTAATGAACATACCACAAAGAGGATAAACAGATCAACAAGCCTTTTCTATGTTTCCCCCATTTGCCTGGAATCAATTTATTGACCCACTTCTTTCAAGACATCTGTTTGTACCTCTTGGGTCATGATTTCCATCATTTTTGGGATTTGGCAGACCTGTTGATGCTGAGCAAAAGAGGTCACCCAGATCTGAGTACTGCATTTTTTTTTTTTAAGTAGGATCTCACTCTGTTCCCCAGGCTGGAGTGCAGTGGCATGCTCATGGCCACCGCAGCTTTTACCTACTGGGCTCAGGTGATCCTTCTGCTTCAGCCTTCCAGGTAGCTGGAACTATAGGTGTGTGCTACCATGCCCAGCTAATTTTTTGATTTATTGTAGAGACGAGGTCTTGCCAAGTTGCCCAGGCTGGTCTCAGACCAATAGGTTTAAGCAGTCCTCCTCCCTCCACCTCCCAAACTGCTGGGGGTTACAGGTGTGAGCCACTGAGCCCAGCTTGAACCTGCATTTTTTAGGAAAACCTATATAAAACAAATAACTCTTGGTGGTCTTGACATTAACATGAACTCTATTATTTACTTATTTATTTTGAGTTTGAGTCTTACTGTGTTGGATTGGAATATAGTGGCCTAATCACAACTCACTGCAGCCTTCGAATCCTAGGCTCAAGTGATCTGTGTCACCCTCCTGTGTAGCTGGGACTACAGGCACACTCTGCCACACCTGGCTAATTTTTTTTGTTTTTTGTAGAGATGAGGTCTTGTTCTGTTTTCCAGGCTGGTCTTGAACTCCAGGGCATGAGCAATCCTCCAACTCAGTCTCCCAAAGTGCTGGGATGACAGGCACCAGCATGCCTGGCCAGTGGGAGCTGTGTAAAGTCTGTCATCTTTGACCATGGAGCACATTTTGTCACAGACAAGGTCCATGCAATGGAAGTTGGTTATACAGTTTTTGCCCTGTAAATTCTCAGTAATTTAGTTTGAATTTCTCTGAATACAACTTTGTTGTTCTGCAGCTCAACAAGGTTCACTTCCAAAACACAATTCTTGAGGCCATCAGGTGCAGTTTTTGTTCCATGAGCCTGTTTGACTAGTGTGTTCCCAGTTGAACATGACTGATGCTGTCATGTTGTCACAATCTTTCTAGGAAGGTGGAGCAACCACTTTGCAGCTCCCTTCTACCACTTTCTGTGATACTTCTCTTGCCAGCCACCCTACTGCTGCTCAGTGAAAAACCCTAACTAGTTTTCAAGGACCATCTTAATGAAAAGCCTTCTTTAATTTCATAGCATTTTTTTTTCTTTGAGATGGAGTCTCACTCTGTCGCGCAGACTGGAGTACAGTGGCCGCTCCCGGCCACCGCAGCCTCCACCTGCTGGGCTCTGGTGATCCTTCTGCCTCAGCCTTCCAAGTAGCTGGAACTATAGGCGTGTGCTACCACGCCCGGCTAATTTTTGATTTATTGTAGAGATGAGGTCTCACCAAGTTGCCCAGGCGGGCCTTGAACCCGCGGGCTCAGGCAATCCACTCACCTCAGCCTCCCAGCACGGGATTATAGGCTTAGCCACCGAGCCCGGCTCATAGCATTTTCGAGTATGTATATTTGGTGTCTCCAGTGTATTTGATATTAAGAAAAAGTTGTCAGAAACCTGCAGAATCATGGAACTAAGCATTTGGTTAACCCTCCCAGTTTAGGTTTTAAGTGTACCAAGATGCGATCACTTCTCAGATGCAAAGAAACAAACAAAAAAGATACAAAAATTGTCCCTGCTGGCTGTTTGGGCAGGCGTTTTTCTCTTGTTTCATAGTTGTAGGGACAGAGTGTCTTCAGATGAACAGTTCACTCCTAGATGTAATTTTTATCCTTTACGAGAAAATGAACTTCAGATGTTATAATCTGTACATTCAGAAGGTAAAAGGAGTTGTGTGATACACTTCTATTCTGTACAGCTTATGGTGAACATGGTTTCTCTGCATCATACACTACTTCTGACATCAATGTATAGGCTTTTTCCTACTCTGACCAATTCTCTGACATCAGCCAGGTGCCCTACAATTTCAGTCTGACACTACCTGCTGGAGCTGGCATCAGGGCCCACAAGTTTAAGGGCTCAGTCCCACAAGACTGCTGCATTCAGATTCTGGGAGCAGGTCTGGCCTTCCTTACATTCCCCATCACCCTTCAGGTTTGATGACTTGCTGGAATAACTCAAGAAATCTGGGCAACATTTGACTCATGCTTACTGGTTTAATAAGAGGGATAACAGGAACAGCCAGATGGAAGACATGTGCAGGGCAAGGTATTGGGGATGCAGTGAGGCTGGGAGTCTCCATACCTTCTCCAGACTTGCAGCCCTCCCAGCACCTTGATATGTTCACCAGCTTGGAAGCTCGTCACATCTCTTGTTTATGAGCTTTTATCAAGTTTAATCACCAGGGGCCCCCTCCCTTTCAGCTACTGGAGGTCAGTGGGTGGAACTGAGAGTTGCAACCCTTTAATCACTGGGTCTTTCTGGTGACCCATCCTGAGGTGATCTAGGAACCCCACTGTAAGCTACCTCATTAGTATAAACTCAGATTTGTCAAAAATGAAGGGGGCTCTTTATGAATAACTAAAAAGACAGATTTATTACTCAGGAAATTCCAAGAGTTTTAGGTAGGAGCTCTGTGCTGGGAACTGGGACCAAGACTGAATATATTATACCCCCTGGCAGAACATGTAGATGTGAGAGAGTCCTGCAGGACTGTGTCCTTAAGGAGGGTAACTCTAGATACAGCAGAGATCTGGATCAGAGAAGGTGAAGCAATGTTTACTATCTTCTGTCTCATTCTTCAGTGCTAAGCCATGTGTAGACAACCACTAAATACTCATGGGCTGGATTTTAATCTTTATTTTCTGTTTAATAGGAAAGGTTGTCAATATTGACACAAATTCACTGAGATCCTCCATGAGGCCTGGCTTTGAAGATATAATCCGAAGGTGTATTCAGAGATTTTTTAGTCTTAATGATGGGCAGTCATGGTCGCAGAAACGTCACTATCAAGAAGGTAAAAAGAATCTCGGGGTTGATTCTTTTAAAAATATTTTCTGACAGGAATCTCACTGTGTGACCCAGGCCTGGACTACAACTCCTGGGAAGCCATCTTTCCAAGTACCTAGGATCACAGGCATAGCCACTGTGGCAGGCTTCAGGGTTGATTCTTGATCTTGCTTGTCAGGATGTTGGGTATGCTATGAAGTATTATCTATGTACATAACTTCACAGCATAACTGTAGTTGCTATTTTGTCAGTGTGGGATGGGAAAATGATTCCCGAGTATTCTTATTTTGCCCCATTCATAATTTTGGTGCAGATCCAGTCTTGGCTGGATTTTAAGAAATGTTGTATTTGATGTGTATTTCTTCCTTTCCTCTACTATGTGTGTTTGTTTTGCCGCTTGTGGTTACTAGTAATGGGACATTTCCCCCAACAGCTTATATCCATGGTCATGCAGAAACCCCAGTATATCGATTTTCATTGGCTGATGGAACTATAGTGACTGCACAAACAAAAAGCAAACTCTTCCGAAATCCCGTAACAAATGATCGTCATGGCTTTGTCTCAACCCACTTTCTTCAGAGGTAATGATAGATTACTGTTTAATGTAACAGTTTAATGCTTTAGTATTAAAGGAAAAAGGGAAGACATTTAATGAGATAAGAAAACAAGATTGGTGGAATGAGTTTAGGTTCCTGAATTATAATATGTTTTCTTTAAGGTTATATTTTTATGTGAAAATTTGTTTATTAAATAATTTATGTGAAAGCTGGAGGATGGGAAGGCTAGTGGATAAAAGAACATATAAAATCTGATCATCTCTGCCACCTTTTCATTTTTGTTGATGTATTGTTTTGGGGATTGAATTTAATATTTGAAGGTACACTTTAAGAATAAGGAGTGGTTACTGTTGGTGTTTCTAATGGTAAATAAGAAACTCATGAAGAGGTTTATTTACCCACTAATTCTCTTGAGTAGTTTGCAGGTACCTCCAGGTTAACCCCTACGTACCTGGCAACTTGAATGAAGCCCTGTTGAGATTCCAGTTTAGCATAGTTGTTGGACCTTCACAGTGTGGTGAGGGTGTCGCCGTTTAGTTTCTGTGGCGTATTATACATGTTGTTGGGTTAATAATCGATCAATATCTAGATTGGAATTGTCACTAGGTATCGGAATGGTTACCAGTAGGTATTGGAACAGTGGTGTGTAAGAAGTTAAGGTCCTGGGCAGTTAATTCACGTAAAAAAAAAAAAAAATCAGATTCAGGACTTTAGTGTGTGCCTATAATTTTTTAGTAAAAGTTTCATTTTTTTTTCCTCCCAGAGAACAGAATGGCTATAGACCAAACCCAAATCCTGTTGGACAAGGCATTAGACCCCCTGCGGCTGGATGCAACAGTTCTGTGGGCTGCATGAGCATGTCACAAAACCAGGGCTTACAGATGCTGAACAGCAGAGCCTACAGCTTGGCAGACCCAGGCACTGCAGGGCAGATGAGTGGAGCTAGGTATGGGGGTTCCAGTAACATGGCTTCTCTGACCTCTGGGCCAGGCATGCAGTCGCCATCTTCCTATCAGAACAACAGCTATGGGCTCAGTGTGAGTAGCCCCCCACATGGCAGTCCTGGTCTTGGCTCCAGTCAGCAGAACATCATGATTTCTCCTCGTAATCGTGGGAGTCCAAAGATGGCTACACATCAGTTTTCTCCTGTTGCAGGTATTTGTGTTGGCATTTCCTTGTCTTTATTTTTTTTTTTTTTTTGAAGAATTATTTTTTTATTTCCATACCACTGTGATTCTTGTTATGTTAATTCATTTTATGATGGAAACTTTGAAGAATTAAGTGGTGTTTTATTATTGGGTCTGGTGGTCTAATTCTTTTCCTAATTTTTTTCCAAATCCAGGTATGCACTCTCCTATGGGATCTTCTGGCAATACTGGAAGCCACAGTTTTTCCAGCAGTTCTCTCAGCGCCCTGCAAGCCATCAGTGAGGGCGTGGGGACTTCCCTTTTGTCTACTCTGTCATCGCCAGGTCCCAAATTGGATAACTCTCCCAATATGAATATATCCCAACCAAGTAAAGTAAGCAGTCAGGATTCCAAGAGTCCCTTAGGCTTGTATTGTGACCAAAATCCAGTAGAAAGCTCAATCTGTCAGTCAAATAGCAGAGACCATCTCAGTGACAAAGAAAGTAAAGAGAGCAGTGTCGAGGGATCAGAGAATCAGAGGGGCTCTTTGGAAAGCAAAGGTCATAAAAAATTACTGCAGTTACTTACCTGTTCTTCTGATGACCGGGGTCATTCCTCCTTGACCAACTCCCCCCTGGATTCCAGTTGTAAAGAGTCTTCAGTTAGTGTCACCAGCCCCTCTGGTGTCTCCTCCTCGACATCTGGAGGCGTGTCCTCCACATCCAATATGCATGGGTCACTGCTGCAAGAGAAGCACCGGATTTTGCACAAGTTGCTACAGAATGGAAATTCACCAGCAGAAGTAGCCAAGATTACTGCTGAAGCCACTGGGAAAGACACCAGCAGCACGGCTTCTTGTGGGGAAGGAAATGTCAAGCAGGAGCAGCTAAGTCCTAAGAAGAAGGAGAATAATGCGCTTCTCAGATACCTGCTGGATAGGGATGATCCTAGTGACGCGCTCTCCAAAGAACTCCAGCCCCAAGGAGAAGGCGGGGATCATAAAACAAGTCAGTGCAGCAGCTCCACAATTGCTAGCTCAAGTCAAGAGAAAGACCCTAAAATTAAGACAGAAACAAGTGAAGAGGTAATTTGTTTTCTGTCTGTTCCATCATAGTCATTGTGTTTCATCATTTCATTTCTGCGTCAGAAAGATAGTATGTTATATACAAATTCTTCCATTTTCTTTTATTTAATGGAAGATAAGCTTTTAGCTTTTAATTCTTTGTAATTCTTTCAGGCATCAGGAGAGCATATTATGATGCAATTTAAAAATATCCTGTGCATATGTTTTAAAATGTGACTAGCTCTTTAGTAGCCAATTTGAAATTTTTTCACAGAGGTGAGTGTTGTTGGAATGAGCAGATAGGGTCATTGAGGTTACAGTAAACATAATCAGGAAATAACTTGTATTCAGCATCATAATTTGAACTTTTTCCTAAAAGTCAGGTATCATGTGCAAGACAACATTCTGTATGAGCCTTTCCCAAGCTCTGCTGAAGGATCTCTTGTTCTGGGAGATGGGAATGTGTACCTGAGCAAGTGAAGGGCTTTGAGGAGTCTTGAGGGTAGGGTGTGGGTGGAACTTTAACCTAGTGCTCACCACATTTGTTGGCCAAAGCCCTTTTTAAGAGCATGCCTGTGAATATCTTGTTGAACATCAGCTTGTCATTTTTATTGCTAATCATACTTGTTTTCAGAAGGTGTGAGTAGATGCAGACATTTCCGTCAGCTAGTGATCAATGCACTGCTAGTGGCTAATTCTAGCTGGAAAATAGTCTATAGTTTGAGAATTAAACATCTGGCGTAAGTTTAAAAATATGTCTTCAAAAGGACCAAATCCAGTGATTTAATTTCAGTGGTTTAAGCTATTCTTATTTCTAAGGAGGAAGACTAGAGATGTGGGTCATAATAAACCAGCTTTAAGTAGGGCATTGTCATTTCAGGTAATTGTTGTATTTTGTTTCCGGTTAGCATTATTTTATTCTGATGAATATGTTTATACTGGTGCATCTAGTTGTGTCCACAAGTTAATTTTACAAATTTTATTTTCAGGGAGCTGGAGACTTGGATAATCTCGATGCTATTCTTGGTGATTTGACTAGTTCTGACTTTTACAGTAATTCCGTGTCCACAAATGGTAGTCATCTGGGGACCAAGCAACAGATATTTCAAGGAACTAATTCTCTCGGTAAGAAAGAGCCAAATTTTGTTACTACTGCTTTGGGAGCTTTTCTGCACACTTGTGTGCACTCTTACATTGGGGCCAGGATACATATCTAGCATTTATAGCTTTAGAACATATACTCTGCCTCTAAGTTTCCTGTACTAATTTATAATGTGTGTTTTTAAAAACTCTTTGAACCTTTTCCTGGTTTTTAAGAATTACTTAAATTTTTCATTTCAAATGAATATGATAGTAATCATGGTGCTATAGGAAAATGTTTATCTTTGATTATTCCAGATGGGTGGTGGGTACCAGGGCATATATATTTTTAACCACAGATAACTTGATTTAAAAGCATTCAAACCCGTAGATTAAAACCTGTCATTTGGCACTTACAGAATCTTGTCATTCAACCGTGAGAGTTTCTATCTTTGGTGTTTGCTGGTTCTTGTCTAACCCCTCTCCTATTGCTGTGTGTTTATACAGTCATCAGTTTAACAAGGGTGTATTGTGTGTATCATTTGAAAAGGAATAGTTCATACTTATTTAGAATAGTTATTAATTTTCAGTGGCACTGTTTCCTAAATTGAAATAGATAGATCAAAATAGATTGGAAAAATTAAAAAAAGGTTAGGAGGAAATTTTGCAATTTATTTCTTGTTTGATTAAAAGGCAACTTAACTAGTTACATTAATTGTAAAATTATAAACAGAATATACTTAGTGAGTACACATATGGAAGAACCTTTGGGAGCTTGAAACATTGGCGAATTTTTCAGTATTAAGGAGGATATGAATGACCATATCAGGCTGTGGAAGCGTGCCTAGTACTTCAACCAACACTGAGATTGTTGTTTCTACTTTATTTGGAATATGAGGCCTTTTTTTTTGTGGCTTTGTTTATTTTGTAAAGGAAGAGAGTGTTTGTTTTTGTAAGAAAGACACTCTTGGGTGGGAGGGTGGTATTTGTATCTTGTACTTGATTATTTATGTATTGAATCATGAGGGGATATTTGTGTATTGTACTACTGTGTTTTCAACAGGTTTGAGAAGTCCACAGTCTGTGCAGTCTATTCGTCCTCCATATAACCGGGCAGTGTCTCTGGATAGTCCTGTTTCTGTTGGCTCAAGTCCTCCAGTAAAGAATACTAATGCTTTCCCCATGTTACCAAAGCAACCCATGTTGGGTGGGACTCCAAGAATGATGGATAATCAGGAAAATTATGGCTCAAATATGGGTATGTTATTTCTAATTAATATCTCTAATTAATTTCTTTTGGGAAAAGCTAATTAGTTAATTAATTAGTTAATTTTAAATAGAGATGAGTTCTCACTACATGGCCCCAGCTAGTTTTGAACTCCTGTGCTCAAGCAGTCCTCTTGCCTTGGCTTCTCAAAGTGCTGGAATCACAGGCAAATATAAAACATTTAAAGCTATTTAAAAATTGGGAGTAAGCCATACATTTTTTTGAATAAAATTAGTATTATCTTTTTTCCTTGACTATCCTTCATTTATTCCATGTCTTGGTTAATTTTTTTTTTTTTTGGGGAGGGCACAAGATCTCACCCTGTTGCTCAGGCTTGAGTGCAGTGGCACAATCATAGCTCACTGTAACTTTGAATACCTGACCTCAAGCAGTCCTCCCCTCTCACCTCAACCTCCTGAGTGACTAGGACTATAGGTGCATACCAGCATGCCTGGCTAATTTACAGACTTTTTGTAGAGATTGGTTATCGCTATGTTGCTCAGGCTAGTTTCGAACTCCTGGCCTTTAGGGACCCTCATGCCTTGGCCTCCCAAAGTGTCTGGCCAATTATTTAAACTTTTTTGGTCTAAGACATTTTCTAACCTGTAATGAATGCATGGGAGTTGTGGCCTATTAAAACTCCATAGTAGGCCAGCCCTGTTCTTATGATGACAAAGCATTGTTTTGTCTAGGCTGAAGTTGGGTATAATGGCTGAACCTATATGATACAAGAAGGATTTCATTATAATATGAAAAGACTTCATCATTTTTACCTGGCTTAGGTGGACCAAACCGAAATGTGACTGTGAGTCAGACTCCTTCCTCAGGAGACTGGGGTTTATCAAACTCCAAGACCAGCAGAATGGAACCTCCAAATTCAGGCTCCATGGGCAGACCAGGAGATTATAATGTGTCTTTACCCAGATCTGCGGTGGGTGGCGCCATGCCCACCTTGCCTCTTCGGTCTAACAGCATACCAGGTGCGAGACCAGTGTTGCCGCAGCCACAGCCGCAGATGCTTCCAATGAGTAAGTGCCCCCTTCGTAGAAAGAGAAAATTAGGTGTTATAGGGTAATTTTTCCTACTGGCTTCCTTGAAAATTTATATTTGCTTTTTGTTCCCCTAGGGCCTGGTGAGATCCCCATGGGAATGGGAATCAATCCCTATGGCCATGCAGCAGCATCTAACCAACCAGGTTCCTGGCCAGATGGCATGCTGTCCATGGAACAAGTTCCTCATGGAACTCAAAACAGGTGGGACTTTATTTTATGACTCTAGAAAATCTTAGCATTGGGTGATCTAGAAAAGAATCAGAGCACAGGAACAAACCTGTATGTGAGAGAGAGAGAAAGAGAAAGAAAGAGAGAGGGAGGGAAGGAGGGAAGGAGAGAGAGAGACAAGATAAGTACAGGTTTCCAGCAGCTTTTTGTTTTGTTTTGTTTTGAGTTGGAGTCTCACACTGTTTCCCAGACTTGAGTGCAGTGGCATGAACACGGCTCACCGCAGCCTCAACCTCCTGGGCTCAGGTGATCATCCCTCCTCAGCCTTTTGAGTAGCTGGAACTGTAGGCACCTGCCACCATACCCAGCAAATTTTTTATTTTATTTTTTTGTAGAGATGAGTTCTTGCTATGTTGCCTAGGCAGATCTCAAACTCCTGGGCTCAAGCAATTCTCTCACTTTGGCTTCCCTAAGTGCTGGGATTCATAGGCATGAGTCACTGTGCTGGCCTCCAGTGGTTTTATTAATGTTTTTCAGAGGATATGCCTCATTTTTCCAAAAAATTCACTTTTAAGTATTAGATAATTCTTTCTTCAATTCTTTTCCTGAAAAGAGTAACGTTTTCCAACCTTCGCTTACTCTTTCCCCTCCCCTCAAACCTCTGCTCTCTCAAGGGGCTGGGCAATTACTTTGATAGTGGGATTGCAGGTATAAGTTATATAAATGGTGGTCTAAAGTGGCCTGGTGAAATTTTAAAATTGTGAGCCTTAAATTTAAATTGATGCCATTCATTCTTTTCTACTGTTTGGTTTATTATTTGTACATGTATTTGAGTTATTGTTCATTTAAAATGGGGTGCATGTTGCTGTGATATATTAATTTTTTTAATAGAGAAAGAAAGCACCACTGAAATCGATTGTACGTCTCTTTCTAGGCCTCTTCTTAGGAATTCCCTGGATGATCTTGTTGGGCCACCTTCTAACCTGGAAGGCCAGAGTGATGAGAGAGCTTTGCTGGACCAGCTGCACACTCTTCTGAGCAACACAGATGCCACAGGCCTGGAAGAAATTGACAGAGCTTTGGGCATCCCTGAACTTGTCAATCAGGTAGGTTGTATTAACATGGAAATAGGAGAGCATGTATTTGCATCTGCGTGTGTGTATACATTCTTGGAGTCATGTGTAAGAATGCCCATGTGTATTATCTTTTCTGTACTTGTGTCATATCACTGCATTATGGATACCAACATCACATTTATAAAATATATTTTATTTGCTCTCAAAAAAAAAAAAAAAAGAATTTTTTTTTTTTTTTGTGTGTGTGTCTGGAGCCTCACTTGATCGCCCAGGCTGGAGTGCAGTGGCACACTCATGGCCACCCTGGTGCTGACCTGCTGGGCTCCCCTGATCCTTCTGCCTCAGCCTTCCAAGTGGCTAGAACCGCAGGTGCGCGCTACCATTCCTGGCTGATTTTTTGTTTATTGTAGAGATGAGGTCGTACCAAGTTGCCGGGGCCGGTCTTGAACGTGCACGGGGTCAGGCAGTTCACTCGCCTTGGCCTCCCAAAGTGCTGGGATCACAGGCTGAGCCTCTGAGCCCAAAATGTATATGTTGAAATAGAAAATATACTTAGGAATATGGTATTACTCCTAGCAACCCACTGTTTTATAAAGATGTCACATTTTAGACAACTATAAAAATGATTTTGTGAAACTACTGTACTGTTTTTAAACTGCTACTTTTTATTTATGCTAACAATTAAAAAAAAATTTTTTTTATTTTGACTTGAAGTCTCACTCTGGTTCCCAGACTGGAGTGCATTGATACGCTCACAGCTACCACAGCCTCAACCTCCTGGGCTCAGGTGATCCTTCCACCTGTGCTTCCAGGTAGCTGGAACTACAGGCATGTACCACCATGCCTCCAGTTGTCCAGGCTGGTCTCAAACCTCTGGGCTCAGGCAGTCCTCTTGCCTCCACCTTCCAGAGTGCTGAGATTACACGTGTGAGCCACCACACCTGGCTAATAATTCTCATATCTATAACTATGTTTCCTTACTACTTAGCCAATCAGTGTGTACTCTGAGGAGGCAAGCTTTCTTTATGAGTTTAAACAAAACTTGTTTACAATAGTAAATGTGAACATTCTAGCATCATCATCTCCCATTCCTGTGTACACACCCAACCTTATGAAAACATGGTTATTCACAAATCTGTTTTCAAAACAGATGCATTTTATACTGATTTTTTTAAAAGGCTTGTCAAGGTCTCTGCACAGCAATAGGCAGGAGAGATCATCCAGGGGCTCTCAGTCTGGAGAGACAGACGTGTACATGAGAAATTATACTACAATGTGGCTAACGCTGTCACAGAACCTTAAAGAGTGAATGGGAAACAGTGAGCAGTCCTGGTGCCTCCAAGAGTCAGTGACATATTTAACCCTGGCTGACCCTTAGGAGCTGTGTGTAACTCCGTCTAGGGTGTGTGTGAGAGAGTTATATAGAGACTGAAAAGCTGCCCTTCAAATTTTTCATTTAAGCTAAAAATCGCTTCTTTGTTCTGATGATAAAATACTTAGTAGTCATTATATAAAATTCTGACAATTGCAAAAAGTATATTAACCCTTTGCACTCTTCTCTGAGAGAACATCATAAATCTAGCAAACCACTCGGGAGTCCCCTTTTAGGGTACATAATTGTTGCCAATTTTTCAAAAGTGTGTGGTTCCTTGAAGTTTTCTATTCAAGTTGCATGAAAAGGCAAAGAAAGAGATGGAATATATGCTGAGACATATGTAAAAATATCAGCTGGTGTTAACATAGAAAGAGAATGTGTGAAGTACTTTCACAGAAGTGCACAGACTAGATGATAAATTACATATTATTAATGTGGCAGGGAGAAAATGAGATTTGCATTGTCTGCTTGAATACAAAAGCACCAGGTGGAAGATGTCAAACAACTTTCTGTTGCACGGCTGTGTATCAGTGAACCTGCAATATGTGTCAGTGACTGTTTCACATGTTAGAAAAAATAAGATACACAATTTTGACTTTTTTGCATAAAAAAGTTCTTTAGTGTCCAAAATTCCATTATAAGCCAAATATTATTACAATACAGTAATTGGTTCCAGTGTCATACTATCTAATGTGAAGTGATTCATTTTCAGTATTTGGTAAAAAAAAAAAGTGCAGCCGAGTTGCTGGTAGGAGATCTGTGAGATGTCTCTGAGTGCAAAGGGCTAAAAAGTTTAAAATCCTCTGTGATACTGGCACAGAGAGAATCATTATTAATTTTTTGGCATATATAGGTTGTGCATTGTTTAGTGACAGGGATATGTTCTGAGAAATGCATCCTTAGGCAGTTTTGCAGCTGTGGGAATTTCATAGTGACACAAACCGAGATGGTCCAGCTAGTCACACGTGCAGGCTTTGTGGCATAGCCTGCTGCTCCTGTGCTGTACACCTGCACAGCTTGGACCTGTCCTGAATACTGTGGACAATGGTAAGTGTTGTATGTCTAAACATGAAAAAAGAACAGTAAAAATACTGTATTGTAATATTATGGGGCCACTCTCATATGTGTAGTTCATTGTTGACAGAAATGCTACATTATGTAATACATGACTGTAGTGCTTTTAGATTTAAAAAAGATACATATGCAAACACTCGAAGTGTGTATATTTTTAAAAACTGAAAGTAGACTATAAAATACTCTTGTAACTAGTTTTATTTCATGAAAGTCATCATTGTCAGTCATCTTTATATATTTAATGTAGACATCTCTAATTTCATTTTGTTTATTTATTTATTTATTTATTGAGTTGGAGTCTCATTCTGTCACCCAGACTGGAGTGCAGTGGCATGCTCCCGGCCACTGCAACCTCGACCTGCTGGGCTCCGATGATCCTTCCGCCTCAGCCTTCCAAGTAGCTGGAACTACAGGCGTGCGCTACCACACCCGGCTAATTTTTGATTTATTATAGAGACAAGGTCTCGCCTAGTTGCCCAGGTGGGTCTCAAACCCATGGGCACAGGCAACCCACTCGCCTCGGCCTCCAAAAGTGCTGGGATTACAGACTGAGCCACCGAGCCTGGCCGATATATCTAATTTTAATGACCAAATATTAACTGTTATGTTGAGCACGATTTATTTAACCAGTTCTCTACTGATGCAGATATAAATTGTTCTCTTTGTTTTTATTGTCAACAGTTCTATGCATTACTTATGTCTTGCTCACTTATTGTTTCCTTAGTACATATAGTGCAAGAGAAGGGATCGTGGGTTGGAATGTGTGGTTATTTTAAAGGGTTGCTGCTTATTTTCCAGTGATGTTCCTAGAAGATCACCATGCTACTTGCCAGAATGCGGTAACATGAGTTCCTCACCCATCCACCAGCACTGTGCTGCTGTGGGTTAGGGCCATGCAGTAACTCAACAAACATTGAGCATGATGAATTTTAAAATCTTTGCCAATCTTATAGGTGTACTAAAAAAGGTTTTAGATTATATATTTTTTTATTTGCAAGGTTGAACAGCTTTTATGTGTATTGGCCAGTTGTATGTGTTTTTTATAGTTTTTGATGGGGACTTTTGTGGGTTTGCAAGAACACTTTCTGTATATTTAGTTATTGCTATATTTGTCTTCTATTTGCTAGTCTAATGGGCACTGAAGCAGGAGAAGTGAGCAAATTAGTTCCTGCTCCTAAAGCGCAAATCTCCTCTGGCATGGCAAACATCAGACAGGGAGCCACTCGGGTGTAATCAGTTATGTGTAACAGGGGCTTTGAGGAATGGCATCTGGTGCTTTGAAGACTGCACCTTAATGGGCGCCCTATTCTTCAAATTAGGGGATGGTGGGGAGTGATGGTTGTTAAAATATTCTCTAAAGTCATATTTGAGTTGTGATTTGAAGGACCACTATATTTGTCTGATATATTACAAATAGTTTTTCCCAGTTTTCTTTTAGGTGGAGGCTTGCTTTTAGTTTTTTCAGTTTAAAAAAAGTGTCTGTTTCCAACTGGACATAGTGGCTTATATCTGTAATTCCAGCACTTTGGGAGGCTAAAGCGAGAGAATCGCTTGAGACCAGAAGTTTGAGACCAGCCAGGGCAACCTAGCAAGATCCTGTCTCTGTTTTTAAAAAAGAATGTTTCTGTTTCCAAATCCAGGATGATGAAATAAGAATAACTGGGGACTCACTTGAATGGTTAGGAAAGCACTTTCTGGGAAGATGATATTTAAACAGATACCTGAAGGATGAGAAGGAGGTAGCTATGCAAAGAGATAGGGGAAGAATGTTCCAGAAGAGGTACAGCAAACACAAGTAAAGAGCTCGGGGCTTGTAGGAAGTGACTGAAAGTCATGGAGAGCATAGGTAGAGTGGTGTGGAATTATGCTGGAGAGGTAAATGAAGGCAGGTTCCACAGAGCCATCTCACGGAGTCTGGGATTTTTCTGCTATACACGGAATAATTTTAAGCAGGAGAGTGATGAGACCTGCTTTCCATTTTTGTTATGGTTAATTTTTATTTTTAGCAAAGTCATGTTTGTAACTTAAAGATGAAGTGATAATGGAAATATTTTTATAAGAGCCATGATAACTTGCCCTACTCCGAGGTTATGAAACTCAGTTATTTGATACTGGTAATATTTTTAAGTAATATGCTTATGCAGCTTTTAATTTTTATTTAAAGAGACCGGGGGCACTATTGTCCAGGCTGGCATATTCGTAGCTCACTGCAGCCTTGAGCTCCTGGTCCTAAGTGATCCTCCCACCTCAGCCTCTTGAGTGTTAGGCAGATATCTCTCCATCCCCTGTAGCTGCTACCTATTGACTTCTTGACATGGCAGTTGACAGCGCATTTATAGTCTCTTACCTGAGAACCTGGGGAACGGATAACTTTGGAATTGAGGAATTTTTGAATCTTAGAAGGTAGAATGGTACATATATACCATCTATTACATGATACCCCTAGTTGAGTTTTGAACAGTAGTATAGTTTTAGGCACTAGCCTGTGATTAAACACATGAATACTTCTTTAGCAAAATGTTTAATTAGTCACGCTAAGTGTGATGACATAGAGAGATGTATTACTTCATAGAAGTTCAGTGCAGGTTTTGCTGTTAAATGCTTTTGCTGCTAATGAAAAATTGTTGGAATTTTTAGAGCTTTTTTGGATCTTGGAATTTTAGATTAAAAATTTGCAAATCTATTTTATCCTCCCTTCCCCCTGGTGCGCACACTCACACCCATACCATACACATGAGCTTTTGCTCTTTCTGTATACCTGCAATAGAAATATATCTTTGTTGTTGTTTAATAGGTAGTTAATATTTACATTACTTTGGCTTATTGCTAAGCCAAGTGGAGAGAGAGAGAGCGAGAGGGAGAGAGAGAGAGAAGGTTAGTAATTGGCTTTTTTTATTTGCTTTGTTTCTTTGTACCTGTTGTTAATTTTCCCCAGATACTCCCAATGAAAGTAAATAGCATCTTTTTTTCTTCACATGTTCAGGCATGTTAAATAATCCATCGGTTTATTCCGTCCCTCCTGTAATTCTGTTTTACTCTGTCCTTGTGATGCAAGTCCAAAAATTAATAATTATCATTGACCAATATTGGACCTTCAGTTTTCTAAACCTCAAGTCATTTTCTTTCTTGACATACTCCTTTGTTTTGCTGAAAAACAATGGCCAATGTCTTCATTCCTACTGCATGAGATATAATGTACATGTGTGTCTGAAAATGTCTTCATTCCACCCTCCTGCGTGTTTGACTATGGATTAAATTCTAGGTTGAAAAGAATTTTCCCTGAGAATTTTGAAAGATTTCTTCCATAGTTTGTGGCACCCGATGCTGCCATTGACTTGTATATTTCACTCTGCCATGGACTTGTATATTTGTGCTTTTGCATGTGACCCTTGTATTCTCTTTGGAATTATTTAGGAATTTGTTTCCCTCTGAAATGTTATGATGTTATATCTTGTTATGGGTCTTATTTTGTTCATTCTGCTGTGTGCTAGAGGTACACATATTCCCTGTAGTTTGGAGACATTTTCTTGCATAATTTATTTAATAATTATCTCTCCTGTTTTTTCTGACTTGTTTTCCCTAGGATTTCTTTTGACATGTTAAGTGTTGTATTGATTCTGTATTTTTCCGTCTTTGTTTGCCTGAGTCACTTTTACATCGGAAGCTTTTATCAAATATCTGGTAGTCCTTGACTGTTCTTATATATTAAGAATGATTCATTAAAAAGGTGATTTGACATTCTGCAAGTGTGAGCAGGATTAGTTGTTTTTACCCAAGGTGACTAGGTGGGGAGCTAGCTTTTTATTTCAGCATGTAGAGCTGTTCTCAGTGCTGGGGATATACACTTCTTTTCTGGAGAAGAGGCCTTTGTTTTTTGCCTAGTAAGCTGGTTGGTTTTGAGAGCGTGACTGGGGAGGCAAGCGGATGATTTCACAGTATAGAATATAGAATTGGAAAGCAATAGAATCTTGTTAGAAATGTTGCATATGTAAAATATAAAACTTCCTCTTTTCAGCATCTGCCTGCTTCCTTCTGCTCTCCTGGAGTCCCTGAACCCAAGCCCTTTGGGGGATGGGTAGAAGGTATAGCCGCTGAAGGATCTGGGAGCAGGCCTGGAGGTGGTGGACTCCTGCTCTGTATCAGACTCCTGGCCAACCCCTTTCTCAGCATTGTGCCCAGTGGAGCCTCTCATTAGTTCTTGGGATACCTTTACTCACTTTTCACGTGTATTTTCCCACTGGAGGTGTAGAGGTCTAAGTTTCTCTGCTCTGCTCTGTTGAGTTGGTTGTACTTATCCTTCCACCATTTTCTGACCTCAGTACCTATTGAGATTGGCCTTTTCCTTAGTGTTTTAAAACTTTTTAGAAAACTCGATAGGAAAAGGAGGCTAGACATGTACGATCAGTTCTCCATGTTTAACTTAAAGTGTGATTTGCTTTTTTTATGCTTTATTTTTTTTTAAAGATGTGAGGTGCAAGTCAGGTTTAGGCACATAAGTAATCTATGTGCAGGTGAAGTTTGGACCTGCAACTGGTCCTCATTTCCCCTGGTCTAGTATCAGGTACCTTCTATGTTGTATGATGTGCTTTATTAAATGATACCATCGAGCTGGGCTCGGTGGCTCAGCCTGTAATCCCGTGCCTTTGGGAGGCTGAGGTGAGTGGA